AGCCTGGAACGTGGGTAATATAAAACACCATCAGTCTATCCTGGAACGTGGACAAGAAAGAGCATCATCAATCCAGCCTGAAACGTGGACAAGAAAGAACACCATCAGTCTAGCCTGGAACGTGGGTAATAAAGAACCATATCAGTCTAGCCTGGAACGTGAGCAAGAAAGAACACCATCAGTGCAGACTGGAACGTGTTTTTAGAGACGTCCCTCAGGTCCTGGAACGTGTTCCAGCACAAAAGTTGGTGTCGTGACCATGTGTTTGTTGCCCGCCTGGAAAAACCTTCAACGTCCTGGACTCCAGGACACTCTCACCGGAGATTCTTGCAAAGCAAAACAAAAACTTACAAGAATTAACTCGGGAACTTACTTCCAGAAACGAGACCTGGAAGTTGGAAGGATATACCCAGCACACAAACTTCTCAAAAGGGCCTCACCCACTTTGGATTCTCAACAATACGGAGAATATAACGTGGGAGGAGACATAAACTTCTTCAAGGGCCTCACCCACTTTGGATTCTCGACAAGACAAACGAAGGCGCACGGCTTTAAAAAATTATATATTTTTTCCCTTTTCCAGAGAGACGCTTGATCCTGTCTCAACGAGAGTCAATAAAGGGAGACCAGAAGCAAGCAATGGGACGCTAGAGACGGTCTGGACTCACTAAAAATGAGCGTCCATAAGAGTGTGGGATAATACATGACAGAGTCTTACAGCTCATGGAAATCGTCTTAGAGCTCCTGGAAATCGTCTAACAGCTCCTGGAAATCGCCTTACAGCTCCTGGAAATCATCTTAGAGCTATGAAAGTCGTCTTATAGCTCCTGGAATTCGTCTTAGAGGTGGAAATCGCCTTTCAGGTCCTGGAAATCGCCTTTCAGCTGAGGATAACATGTCAGCGACTGGAACACTGGAGAGAGAGATTCTCAAAGTTGTGGAGATGGTTAAGAAGAAGGAACCTCTGAATGTCTCTAATGAAGGAACTTGAATCCTCCCAGATAATCTGGAAGCCACGATCTGCTGGAGGTCACGACCAGCTGGAGGCCACGGCCTGCTGGAGGCCCCGACCTGTTAGAGATGCCGACCTTCTTGAGGTCACAACGTGCTGGAGGTCACGACCTGTTGGAGGTCGTGACCTGCTGGAGGTCGCGACCTGTTGGAGGTCCTGACCTGCTGGAGGTCGCGACCTACTGGAGGTCACGATTTGCTGGAGGTCAAGACCTGTTGGAGGCCATAATCTGATACAGGCCTTGCGCTCATTGAGGTCACGGGGCTCTGGTATCTTCCAGCTTCTTGAAGACTCGATCTCCTGGAAACCTGCAGTCCCTGGAAGCCTCCAGTCCCTAACAGCATAATGGTCACTTTGACCACTGAATCCGACTGGTAAGCCAGCGGTAATTCCACTAAGCTGTTCCATCTGGAACAGCTAGCTCCAGACAACGGTCACAGTTGGCTCCATGCAACAGCCACAGCTGGCTTCATGCAATAGTCACAGCTGGCTCCAAGCAACAGTCACACCTGGCTATAGACAACAATCACAACAGGCTCCAGGTACCAACAACTGGAGCACAACATCACAAAAACTCAAGATTGAAGGAACTCTGCAGCAGACCTACTGGCCCATGCTAGGCAGGTCTAACTCACAGCCACTCACGTACTTTCTAATATACTGTTTTAAAACTTCACAAAGTTATCACAACAATAACTCTGGAGGAAATAATAGCTAGAACTGAGTACACTACAAACCCTAATTACACAATAGAGCGGAAAAGTAGTGTGAAGGACCTGGGAGTGGTAATGTCAGAGGATCTCACCTTCAAGGATCACAACAATGACATTGCCACAACTACGAGGGAAATAATAGGATGGATAATGAGAACCTTCAAAACAAGGGACTGGAACACGCCAATGATAATCATTTTTACATCACTTGTTCTCTCTAGGCTGGAATATTACTGTGCACTAACAGCTCCTTTCAAGGCAGCTGAAATTGCAGATCTAAAGAATGTACAGCGAACCTTTATTGCACATACAGGATACTTGGAAGCACTTAACCTGTACTCCCTGGAACGCAGGCGAGAAAGCTACATCATAATACACACCTGGAAATTCCTTGAGGAGCTGGTCCCAAATCTGCACAGCTTCATGACGCTGAACTCTTCTCCAGACTGAGGGACTGACCTCCTCAAATACTATTTCTCCAAGGTTGATGGACTGATTACATCATCTTCACTTCACTACTACACCTGCTGCCTCTGTATTTGACTGAAGAAGCATACTGTGTAGGCGATAGGTTTCAACAGTAAAGATACCCAACTGTTATACATGTGTCTTAATCGTAAGAAGAGAAAGAGTCAGTACTCACCTTGAAGAGTCTCAGGATGTTAGCTATCATAACGGAGACAGAGGAGGAGGCTGCGCCTATCACACCTATAACAGGCTTAGGCGGGATGTAGATAGGCTTTTTACCTCCTTTACACTTGAAGTCCGAGGCGTCCTGAAACAAGAGAGAAGAGGAACCCGTCAGTACTGTGCGTGGCTGTACGTGGCAGGAGGAACTAAAAACACAGACAGGTACATCAAGGACACATAATCCACTGACAAACAGTAGGAATTCTAATAGGCTCAGAGGAAAGGAGTAGACCTACCTGACGGCACATCATTGCTCTACACTCACAGCCAGTTCTAAAATTTCTCGTAAAAAAAAATATCTGTGGTGATTTTATAGAATAGTGACATCGTGAGTTGTGTTGACATCGTGGTGGTGGTGCCCCGAGTTATACCCAGGACCCTTCCAGAACCTCCCAGGACCTCCCAGGATCTTCCAAGACCCTCCAGGATTCCTAAGACCCCCGAGGAACCCTTCACGGCCCCCTAGGACACCCCAGGATCTCGCAGGAGCAACTAGGATTCCATCCAACGACCTCCCCAGGTCCCTCAGGACCTCCAGGACCTTCCGGGATCTTCCACCATCCTCCAGGACACCTAGGAACTCTGAGGAACTCCAGAACACCCCAGGACCTCGCAGGAGCACCCAGGACCCCAAAGGACCCCTCAGGACCCCTTAGGACCCAGGGGGGCTGGGGCGAAGGCCTATCATGAGAGAGAGGCTGTAAGGACAGCACCGCCACAGACCTACTGATGGATGGTGTTGCAGCAGGAACAACACTGACAGTGTTGACGACCTCACCAACTGTGCTGGATGTTGTTGTTGTTGTTGTAGCACTGTTGGTGGACTCCACCGCTGGTTGTGTAGATTGTTGTAGTTCTGGTAGTGTTGCTGGTAGACATCTCTCTCTCTCTCTCTCTCTCTCTCTCTCTCCCTCCCCCTCTTCCTCTCTCACCTCCTCTCAACCACACAGAATATCTCCTGGTTTTCTAAATCTAACTACTAACGTTCACTCTAACTGTTGTTTCCGCAATGGATCACCTTGTTCCTTTAGTGTTTTTCTCTCCCCTCCTCATCCTTCCTACTCCCTCCACACCCTCCTATTCCTCACTCTACCACCCTCCCTTCTCTTCCCTCCCTCCCCCTCCCCTCCCCTTATCCTGTCCTCCTTCCCTCCTCTCCCTCCCTTTCCTCCCTCCTCTCCTCCCTCCCATCCCCTACTCCCCTCCTTCTCTTCCCCTCCCCCTCTCCCTGTTCTTTCTCCTCCTCTCTCTCTCCTCCTCTCCCCCCGTCTCTCCTCTCTCTCTCCTCTCTCTCTCTCTCTCCTCTCTCTCCGCCTCTCTCTCCCTCTCTCCTCTCTCTCACTCTCTCTCTCTCCTCTCTCTCCTCCTCCCTCCCTCTCTCTATCTATCTATCTATCTATCTCTCTCCCCTCTTTATATTCTTGTCCCCTCACCCCTGTTTTTAATTTCACTTTCCCCTCTCTGTCTCTCCCTTTTATCACTCTCCCCTTTGTCTCCCTTCCTACCACTCCCCTTTGCCCTCCCTTTATCTGTCCCCCTTTCTTTCTCAGTATGGAGTGAGAGAGCGAGAAAGAAACAGTGTGAGGGAGGAGAGAGAGAGAGAGAGAGAGAGAGAGAGAGAGAGAGAGAGAGAGAGAGAGAGAGAGAGAGAGAGAGAGAGAGAGAGAGAGAGAGAGAGAGAGAGAGAGACGGACAGAGACAGAGAGTGAAGCAAGCTTCTATACCACAAGACGGGCAGCCAGCAGCAACTTCACTCTTGCTGTAACCTTCTCCAGAACATCACTCCATCTTAGATCATTTATCCCCAGGATGACTCGAGTATGGAACACATTCGTACAGCATAATGATGTCAACGAGATAAAGTCAGTTGATCAGATGAAAATACTGGCCAACAGCTGGCCCACAGCTGGCCCACATCTGGCCCACAGTTGGCCCACAGATGGCTCCAACTTCATCCTGTTCCCTACTTGTATGTCTCATAACAATAAAAATGCTTTCAAATGAGCTGATGTAGGTAACAGCTGTTAGCTTGTTAATAAAGTTAGGAATCCTTAACCTAACCTTGTCAAACCCTGGTAAAGAGAGAGAGAGAGAGAGAGAGAGAGAGAGAGAGAGAGAGAGAGAGAGAGAGAGAGATGTCTACTAACAACACTACCACAACTACAACAATCTACACAACCAGCGGTGGAGTCCACCAACAGTGCTACAACAACAACAACAACATCCAGCACAGTTGGTGAGGTCGTCAACATTGTCAGTGTTGTTCCTGCTGCAACACCATCAGTAGTTTTGCTCTTGTTGTGATGTTGATAACTGATGTTAATACACACACACACACACACACACACACACACACACACACACACACACACACACACACACACACACACGCACACATATTTGAGCTCCAAGTGGAGAGAGCAGCAGAAATAGGCTGGGAAAAACCAAACTACAAAAGGGGGAACTACTCAGGCTTGAGGAACTTCCTTCAAGACATTCAGTGGGAGAGGGAACTGACAGGAAAACCAGTACAAGAAATGATGGACTATGTAGCAACAAAATGCAAGGAGGCAGAGGAGAGGTTTGTTCCCAAGGGAAACAGAAATAATGGGAAGAACAGAACGAGTCCTTGGTTCACCCAAATGTGTAGGGAGGCAAAAACTAGGTGTACTAGAGAATGGAAAAGGTACAGAAGACAGAGAACTCAGGAAAATAAAGAAATCAGCCGAAGAGCCAGAAACGAATATGCACAGATAAGAAGGGAGGCTCAGAGACAATATGAAAATGACATAGCATCAAAAGTAAAGACTGACCCGAAGCTGTTGTACAGCCACATCAGGAGGAAAACAACAGTCAAGGACCAGGTAATCAGACTGAGGAAGGGTGATGGGGAATTCACAAGAAACGACCGAGAGGTATGTCAGGAGCTCAACACAAGATTTAAAAGGTATTTACAGTGGAAACCAGTAGGACTCCAAGAAATCAGAACAGGGGGGCACACCAGCAAGTGCTGGATGACGTACATATAACCAAGGAGGAGGTGAAGAAGCTGCTATGCGAACTTGACACCTCAAAAGCGGTGGGACCAGACAACATCTCTCCATGGGTCCTTAAAGGGGGAGCAGAGATATTGTGTGAGCCATTAACAAAGATCTTCAACACATCATTTGAAACTGGGCAACTCCCTGAGGTATGGAAAATGGCAAATGTAGTCCCAATTTTTAAAAAGGGAGACAGACATTAGGCACTAAACTACAGACCTGTATCACTAACGTGTATAGTATGCAAGGTCATGGAGAAGATCATCAGGAGGAGAGTGGTGGGGTACCTGGAAAGAAACAAGTGTATAATTGACAACCAGCACGGTTTCAGGGAAGGAAAATCCTGTGTCACAAACCTACTAGAGTTTTATGACAAAGTGACAGAAGTAAGACAAGAGAGAGAGGGGTGGATCGACTGCGTATTTTTGGACTGCAAGAAGGCCTTCGACACAGTTCCTCACAAGAGGTTACTGCAAAAGCTAGAGGACCAGGCGCACATAACAGGAAAGGCACTGCAATGGATCAGAGAATATCTGACAGGGAGGCAACAACGAGTCATGGTACGCGACGAGGTCTCAGAGTGGGCGCCTGTGACAAGCTGGGTTCCACAGGGGTCAGTCCTAGGACCTGTGCTGTTCTTGGTATACGTGAACGACATAACGGAAGGGATAGACTCAGAAGTGTCCTTGTTTGCAGATGATGCGAAGTTAATGAGAAGAATCAAATCGGACGAGGATCAGGCAGGACTACAAAGAGACCTGGACAGGCTACAAGCCTGGTCCAGCAACTGGCTCCTTGAATTTAACCCTGCCAAATGCAAAATCATGAAGATTGGGGAAGGGCAAAGAAGACCGCAGACACAATATAGTTTAGATGGCCAAAGACTGCAAACCTCACTCAAGGAAAAAGATCTGGGGGTGAGCATAACACCGAGCATATCTCCTGAGGCGCACATCAATCAGATAACTGCTGCAGCATACGGGAGCCTGGCAAACCTACGGATAGCGTTCCGATACCTCAGTAAGGATTCGTTTAAGACTCTGTATACCATTTACGTCAGGCCCATACTGGAGTATGCAGCACCAGTTTGGAATCCACACCTAGTCAAGCACGTCAAGAAATTAGAGAAAGTGCAAAGGTTTGCAACAAGACTAGTCCCAGAGCTACGGGGATTGTCCTATGAAGAAAGGTTGAGGGAAATCGGCCTGACGACACTGGAGGCCAGGAGGGTCAGGGGAGACATGATAACGACATATAAAATACTGCGCGGAATAGACGAGGTGGACAAAGACGGGATGTTCCAGAGATGGGACACAGACACAAGAGGTCACAATTCGAAGTTGAAGACTCAGATGAATCAAAGGGTTGTTAGGAAGTATTTCTTCAGTCATAGAGTAGTCAGGCCGTGGAATAGCCTAGAAAGTGATGTGGTGGAGGCAGGAACCATACATAGTTTTAAGGCGAGGTATGATAGAGCTCATGGGGCAGGGAGAGAGAGGACCTAGTAGCAATCAGCGAAGAGGCGGGGCCAGGAGCTGTGACTCGAACCCTGCAACCACAAATAGGTGAGTACAAATAGGTGAGTACACACACACACACACACACATACAGGAAGTGGGCCTACTAGCGACCAGTGAAGAGGCGGGGCCAGGAGCTATGACTCTACCCCTAGAACCACGAAAACCACAAAAACTGAGAGGATACAAAGGCACAAGTGGCAAGATATAGAGACAAGACTAAAGTCAGGGAGGAACAATCACCCACAGAGCACTACAACCAAATTAATTAACCCAAAACAAACCATACTCCATACTCACAGCTCCCCCAACACAAACCCCACCAATACAATAGCCATCCGTAGTACCCTGCTAGATCTCCCACTCCCCCAACCCCCACAAACCCCCAAGAATACAATTTTGGCAAAGAAGTTGAAGGTTTGGTACACCAACGTAGGCGGAATAACAAATAAGTGTGAGGAGTGGCACGAAAGAATCATGGACGCATAACCGGACATCATACTACTCACGGAAACCCAGCTCACGAG